TTTACTTCAGGGGGGACAGAGCAATGTGGGAAGACCCCCCTGGCTGTTGCCTGGAGGAGCTCTGGGATGCCCCTTATGTCCCTGTTACCCCCACCAGCTCCATGAGCAGCGGGGAGGATGGTGGAGCCAAGGCAAATTCATCCCCCCCTTTGCTGGCTCTGTGTGTTCTGAACGAGGATTTGGGGGTTTAGAGCTGGCTCCAAGTGCCTGGGAGCAGTGTTAATGCCACTTTGGCCTTATCCCGGTGGGAGCAGCTTGGAATGGTGATGGGGATGCACTTGCAGAACAAAACACCGCTGGGAAAGTTCTTTGGCACTTTCTCCTCCAGTGGGCCAACCTGTGGAGTTGGCAGAGCTGCCTCCCAGCTCTGGTCCCTCACTGAGAGCTCTTCCCACCAGGAAAGCCAAGGAAAACCAGGAATGGGAGATGTCAGTGGCTTAGGAACACATCAGTGTTACAAAACCAGGGGTAACTGGATTGGGAAATCAGGATGATGTTTGTAAGGACTGATTGGGCATCACAGGGGGCATGGGAGACTCCTGGGAGGGGACATCTGTGTCCCCTTGGGTGGTCACGGGCAGAAGGACCAAGTTCCCAGATGGGGAAGCAGCTCCTGGGGACACCCAGGGGGCTGGAGGGTTTGTGTGGGGTGGAGCAGAGTCTGCATGGGATATGGGATTGGGATATGGGACTGGGACATGGGATTGGGACATGGGATGGTGATATGAGATGGTGGTATGGGATTGTTCTATGGCACTGGGATCTGGGATTGTGATACAGGGTTGGGATTGTCAGATGGGAGTGTGATTTTGGGACTGTGATTTGGGATTGTGATATGGCATTGGGATGGGGATTTGGGATTGTGATATGAGAATGGGATTTGGGATTGGGATTGTTAAATGGGGTTGGGATTTGGGATTGTAACATGGAATTGTGATATGGGATTGGGAGTGTGATCCAAGATTGTGGTCTGGGATTGCGAGACACGATCCGGATCTGACATTTCTATGCAGGATTGGGATTGTGATACAGAGTTTGTGATGTGTGATTGTGATGCAGATGTCCCTGGGCACACGTGATCCTGGCTGGAGGGATGGAGGAGGTCCCTGCCGGCTCAGGAGCAGGGTGGGGACAGTGGCAGGACATCGTGTCCCAGCCAGAAGCAGCAGGACAGCCCTGGCCAGGGACAGGACAGACCGAGCTGCAAACAAGAAAAAAACCTCTTTCTTTCATATCCTTTTTTTTTTTTTTTTATAAGACCAGCATGATGGGGGGAGGGGGGATTTATCCCCAAAAATCTCCTGCAAATCTGCAGGGAATGGTGTGTGTTCCAGGAGCATGTGTTGGAAAGGGCTTAACCGGGGCGAGGCTGCTCTGCTGCCTCAGGGAGCTGCTGGAGATACAGCCTGTTCCCACTCACATCGGGGGTATTTATAGATACAGATGTTTCTCGAGCAGCAGGGTTCAAGCTGAAGTTTTTTTATTTATTTTTTTAAGGTTTTGGTGGTTTTTTTCATTCCCTGTCTCCCTTCCCATCCCTGCTTTGCTCTTCCAGCAAACAGCCCCCCTGAAATAAATCCACGCCCCAGGGGAAGGGGAAGCGGCGCTGCCTCTGTCCCCGAGCGGCATCTTTGGAGGCTGGGCAAGGGCTTTGCTCCACAATTAATTATCCATGCTCTGCGGGCCGGCTGGGAGGCATTAATGGCTCCAGATGCGGATCGTGGAGCTCGGCGTGGCACTGTAAACATGCTGGAAGTCCAATTTGGATTTCCCCCGGTGCCTCATTTAAATGAATTATGTAAACGGTTTCCCCTCCTCCTTTGAGCAGAAGCCAGTCTGGCTGCAGCCCGATGTGTTAATCCAGGAATAAAATAAAAAAAAAAAACAAAAACAAGGGAGGCCAGGCAATTAAAGAGAATAAAATGGTGCTGTGGAGCCCATGGCAGGGCTGGGCAGGGGGTGCTTTGGGGCTGCAGCTGCTCCCACCACCTAGACCTGATTATCCCCCTTCACTTGGTCCCAACCCCTTGGTGACCCAGGCAGGGTCCCATCCCCAAATTAAACATCCCCCTGGGTGTTTAATTCAGTTTGATTTGCCCACAGGGTGATCACAGTTATTTATGGTGAAGAACTGCTGAGTGGCTTTGCCTGGGCTCCCCCATGTCCCTCATTTCCCCCTTACCCACCCTTCTGGGGTGGCCCCCGGGGAGAGAAATTAAAGCAATTAAAGCTATTTGGGTAGGTAATGACAGTGCCAGGGTGTGGGGTCCCAGCATGGTCTGATCCTGCTCTCCAGGCTGGAGCTGGGAGGCAGCTGTGGGATGGGCAGGGACAGACAGGAAGGGGTCCAACCCAGGGCTGTGTTTTCTGCTGAGCAAGAGGTGGCAGATGTTTGCTGATGAATTATTCACCCAGAAAATTGTCATAGAAACACAGAATGCTTTGGGTTGGAAGGGACTTCAAAGCTTATCCAGATCCACCCCCTGCCATGGGCAGGGACACCTTCCACCAGCCCAGGTTGCTCCAAGTTCATCCAACCTGGCCTTGGACACTTCCAGGGATCCAGGGGCAGCCACAGCTTCTCTGGACAACCTGTGCCAGGACCTGCCCACCCTCCCAGCCAATAATTCCTCCCAATATCCCATCTATCCTTGCCCTCTGGCACTGGGAAGCCATTCCCTGTGTGCTGTCCCTCCATGCCTTGTCCCCAGTCCCTCTCCAGCTCTCCTGGAGCCCCTTTAGGCCCTGCAAGGGGCTCTCAGGTGTCCCTGGAGCCTTCTCTTCTCCAGGGGAACCCCCCCAGCTCTCCCAGCCTGGCTCCAGAGCAGAGGGGCTCCAGCCCTGGAGCATCTCCGGGGCCTCCTCTGGACTCTCTGCAGCAGCTCCAGGTCCTTGTGCTGCTGTTCCCAGGGCTGGGGCAGCTCTGAGAGGAGCAGAAGGGTGGAATCCCCTCCCTCAGGCCACTCCAATTCCAAAACAAGGTCAAGGTGGCTGTGATGTCACAGGCTGGCCCGTGCCCATGAGTTGAAGCCCAAAGGATGTGGAGGCCAAAGGTGCTGCCTAAGCCAGGACACTTCAGAGACAGCCTGTACCTGTCCACCAGCAGAGCTGGGAGCAACCAGACCCTGCTGGATATTTAAATCCCCATCCAGCCTCCCAAAAATGCAGCTGCTGTTGCAGGGCCCAGCAGGGGACATTCCTGTTTGGACCTGACAGTCACCAAAAAAAGGAAGTTTTGTGTCCATGCCTGACTCTGGGCCAGTTGTTCCCTCCCCAGGCTCTCTGTGGCACAGCCCTTTCCATCAGAGCCCTGAAGCCAAGCTCTGGCTGGGGAACCCCAGGTGCAATTCCGGGCAGCTGGAACGTGGGACACTCCCTGCAGCCTCTCCCACGGGTGGGCTGAGCTCAGTGGGGATGCCCAGCTGGCAGGGAGCTGCTTCCCTCCTCCCTGCCTGCATCCAAGAGGATATTTGAACTCACACATGGGCTGTACTTGCTTACAGGCACATGCAGAACAGCCACAACTCTCCATTCCCATGACAGACCCCCTGAGGGAACTGGGGTGCTCAGACTGAACTGAGTTCCTCTCATGCCATGCTCAAGGCTTTCGAGGAGTTTTTGCCATCAATCCACTCTGATTTTTGTTGTTTTTTTTTTTATTATTATTATTTTTATTATTATTCTCATTAAATTCTACAGCCAGGGTTGCCTGTGGTTTGAGCTCCTCGGGGTGCCTTGCACGGCTCAGGGTGACCGTGGGTGGCTAAATAAATAAATAAATACAGCAGGATGGGACAATCACAGCAACCTGCTAAATCCCAAAATCCAGGGATGTCAGAGGCAGCCACAGCAGCACAGCCTGAGTCACCCTGATTGCCCTGCCTCAGTTTGCTCACTCATTTTGGGGTGTACCTGCCAGGGAGGGGGCATTTGAAATGTCTCCTGAAGGAACCAGGGAGCGAAGATCATTGTCATTTAAATAAATGTCGAATAGGAGGCATGAGGGGAAAACAGGGCTTGTAGTGGAGCCTGGTGTGATCCAGCCCTTCCAGAACCTCCTCAGCAGGGTGCAGGGTGGACATGCAGGGTGAAGTGTGAAAGGTGCAGGGTGAGGGGCCCAAGGGGAGCGTGTAGGATGCAGGGGGTGCAGGCTGAGGGGTGCAGGATGAAGCACAAAGGGTGCAGGGTAAGGAAGGGATGCAAGGTGAGAAGTGCAGGGTGCAGGTTACAGGGGGCAAAGTGCAGGCCGAGGGGGGGTAGGACGCAGGGGTCAGGATGAAGGGTGCGGGGTGTGGGATGAGGGGTTGCAGCGTTCAGGGTGCTGGGTGCAGGATGAGGGTTCAGGGTTCAAGATGAGGTTAGAGGGTGCAGGATGAGGTTACAGGTGTACTGGATGAGGTCACGGGGTGCGGGATGAGGGCTCGGGGTGCAGGATGCGGTCACGGGGTGCGGGATGAGGGCTCGGGGTGCAGCATGCGGTCACGGGGTGCAGGATGGAGTCACACGGTGCTGGATGCCGGGTTCTGGGCTCCTGGGTTCGCAGCGCGGGCTCGCAGCGCCACCTCGTGCCGGAGCCACCGGGGATGGGGATGGGCTGGAAGGCACGGGGATGGGCTGTCCTACACGGGGATGGCATCCCAGTGCAGGGAACCCCCGCTATAAGAACCCATGTGCCCCTGGGCATGGTCTGCACCCCAGGCAACCAACCTTGTACCCCCCACTTTGTTTAGCACCACCACCCGCCCTGCCAGCCACGTGCCCACCCCCAGCAGAAGCTCTTGAGGTGCCATAGGCTGCCAACAGGGCTCCAGGGCTCCAGGTTTTAGTGCCCCAAAGTGATGCCATCCCCACCTGCACCTCCTGGCAGCCAGCTGTGCCCCCAGCTGTGCCCCCACCCCAGCGTTAGGTCCGTTTAATGCATCTCCTCTTCCTCCTCCTCCCACACACCCACCACGCGCTCCGAGAAAGATCCAAGGACTAATCCACCAGGGTTATTCCAAACAAGACTTTATTGACCTGGCGAGGTGCTGGGGCAGCACAGCCTGCAGGAAACCCTACCTGTCCTCCAGCAAGGATCAGGGGGGGTTGTTCTCCCACGGGGACAACCAGGCAGGAGATCCCCTGAGGAGCTGGGGTCACCACCGAGGCTGGGGGGTGCAGAGGGATATCTGCCTCCAGCCACACATCTCAGCAATTCGTTTTCCTCCAGGCAGTTTGGGGACACAACAGTGGCCAGGTCCTGGACCCCAGAGCCCCCCAAAAGGCACCATGTCCCCAGGACACTGAGTGAGACAACTGCAGCTGGTGGGAACCAAACCCTCCCGAGGCAAGGCACTGGTCTCTGCTGGGAGAAGAGGGATTGGAGGCACCACCAAAGGCACTAGACAAACATGGGCACGAAGAGAAGCGTCAAAAACACCCTCAGGTCTCTCTCAGCCCTCAATTTCTCTGCTTGGCTGGTTCTTCATCTCTTTCAAATTAAAACAAAAGACCTGCAAGAAGGCACAGCCCAGCACAGCAGCTCCCACACGCAGAGCTGGGGCTAAGGCAGAGCTGGGGCTGCCCCTGGCCCCGAGGGACAAGGCCACCAGGGCTCTGACCTGGCAACAGGATGCCCGGGGGCCACCTCAGCTGAAGTCCCTGTTCGGCAGCACCAGTGGGGCCACCAATGTCCAGAGGTAGAGCAGGAGCCCGGCCCAGCTGGAGCAGATCTTCACCCACACGGCGGTCCAGGGGCTCCGCAGCACCTGCAGGCTCTCATCCGGCCTGGAACGGCAAACAGGGGGGTGGCACCCACCACTGCCGTATCAGCACACAGCTCTGCCCGAGAGCTGGGAACCCCCAGGAGGAGGGGAGGTGGAGGCAGGGGAACAGCCCCGGGAGCTCTGCCCACCTGTACCAGTTGGTGAGGGTCATCATGATGTAAAGGGCGGCGAGGAGGAGGCAGAGGTGGAAGAAGGTGTAGTTGTAGGAGACGCCGTCCTGCTCGTTGTCGTAGGCGCGGTGCGGCCCCGGCTCTGCCGCCTCCCCCGGGCCCGCCCCGCGCCCGCCCTCCTCGGTCAGCATCAGCTTGTTCACCTGGGGGTGGTCCGAGGAGCGGACGCTGCGGGGAGAGGGGTGGGGGTTCAGCATCGCCTGCTCAGTTCCCCCGTGGCTGGGGTGTCACAGAGTCACGGAATCCACTGAGCTGGGAGGGACCCACAAGGACCATCCAGTCCAACCCTCAGCCCTGCACAATCCCAGCCCCAAGAGTCACCCCCTGTGCCCCAGAGGATCAGCCAAAGCCTCCTGCAGCTCTGGCAGCCTTGGGGCTGTGCCCACTGCCCTGGGGAGCCTGTTCAGTGCCCAACCAGCCTGTGGGGGAAGAACCTTTCCCTGAGATGCCACCTGAGCCTGCCCTGACACAGCTCCAGCCATTCCCTGGGGGCTGTCCCTGCTCCCCCAGAGCAGAGCTCAGTCCTGCCCCTCCTCTGCCCCTGCCCAGGCAGTTGGAACTGCACTGAGGTCTCCCCTCAGTCTCCTCTGCTCCAGCTGAACACACCAAGTGCCCTCAGTGTCCTCACACACCTTCAAATCAAGGCCCTTCCCATCCCTTTGCCCTCCTTTGGACACTCTCCAATGGCTCAATACCTTCCTTATATTGTGGTGCCCAAACTGCCCCAGTACTGCAGGTGAGGCTGCACCAGTGCACAGTAGAACAGGAATGTTTTGTCCTTGGGGCCATCCCCAGAACAGTTTGGGGGGTGCAGGGTAAACCCAGTTTTTGGGGAAACTCTAAGAACTGTGATCACAGCCACGCAGGGTCCTCTGGGGACAGGGATGGCTTTGCAAGAGGCCCTTAGTGACAAAAAACCTGCACAAAGGTGCGACTTCCCCTTTCCCTAAGAGGCTCCCAATGGCTCTCTGCTCCAGGCAGAGGGACAGTGCCACCCCCAGGGTCACAAGCCAAGCCCTCACCTGATGAAGAGGGTGCAGAGGATGAAGATGACCAGCCCCACGATGCTCGAGGCGTCCCACCAGGTTGTCACTGGTTCTGTGGCCGTCTCTGTGCTGGTGCTGTTCCTCACCAGCAGGGTGGGGTTACACTCCTTGGCTGGGGGGGGACACACAGGGGGGGTCAGTACCAAGGATGGAACAAACACCCACCCCAGTGTGTGGTCCTGCCCCCTCACAGAATCACAGAATCAATCAGGTTGGAAAAGACCTGTGAGATCATCGAGTCCAACCCTTGATCCAACCCCACCGTGGTTCCCAGCCCATGGCACTGAGGCCACATCCAGCCTGTCCTTAAACACCTCCAGGGATGAAGAATCCACCCTCTCCCTGGGCAGCCCATCCCAATGGCTGAGCACTCTCTCTGTAAACAATTCCTTCCCAATATCCAACCTAAACCTCCCCTGGCACAGCTTGAGAACCTCTTGTCCTACTGCTGGTTCCTGGGAGAAGAGACCAAGCCCCACCTGGCTCCCCCCTCCTGTCAGGGAGTTGCAGAGAGTGCTGAGGTCCCCCCTGAGCCTCCTCCTCTCCAGGCTGAGCCCCCCCAGCTCCCTCAGCCTCTCCTCACAGCACTTGTGCTCCAGTCCCTTCCCCAGCCTCGTTGCTCTTCTCTGCACCTGTTCCAGCCCCTCCATGTCCTTCCTGAACTCAGGGGACAGAGCTGGACACAGCACTCCAGGGGTGGCCTCACATGGCAAGAATCCCTTCCCTACTCCTGCTGCCACTGATCCTGAGCCAGGCCAGGATCCCTTGGCCCTCTTGGCCCCCTGGGTACCCTCTGGCTCACGTTCAGCCTCCTGTCCCTCCACACTCCCCGCTCCCTTTCGGCCTGGCCCGAACCCAGGCCACATCCTGCTTACTTGGCACGTTGGCCAGGGCGGCCCAGGTGACGTAGATGGTGTAGAGGGTGATGAGGGACGCCTGCAGCAGCCCCGAGTGCGGCTGAGCCTCCTGCAAACACAACAGCAGCTGCTCAGGGTGGTCCTGGCCCCTGCAGTGGCACGGCCAGCAGCCTCCTGGGAGCCATCTTCACCTGGATCTTGGGCAGGATGGACACCACGGAGACGATGAGGCAGAGGAGGAGGTTGATGCTGATGAGGGCCTTGCCCTCGGTGCAGCCCTGGGGTTTGGTGTAGTAGACGTAGAGCAGCGCAACGGCCGCGATGGAGGCGGCGTAGAGGACGAAGGTGACCGTGCAGAGGGCTGGGGGACAAGAGAAACACAGACCTGACTCGCAGCATCCCCCAAATAAGGAACTAGACCGTCTTAGAGAAGCCCTCGAGAGTTAGATAAGGGATGTAAACAAACATGAGGATGTAAACCAAGCTCTGTGCACCCAAATAAAGAACAAACACTGCAGTTTTTGGTGGTGGAGCACAATGACCCTGTGCCTGCTCAAGAGCTGAGGTCGAGATGGTAAAGAAAAGGACCAAAAAAAGACTTCCAGTAGGGGTGTGGCCATGTAGAGCAAACTAATGAGTATGTATTAAGTAAGAGACAATATCTAATGAATATATAAACAGCATGTGCAATAAAAAGCCCTGTCCATCAGCCCTTGGCACACTGGTTTAGAGGAGCTCTCCTCCTGAACAAACCACGCCCTTTTCAGCTCCTACAAACTGGGGATAAGAAGTTTGTTGGTGCCGCCTTTCGGGGTCACGGGGGGAGGAAACAAAAAAAGGAGAGGCTGGAGCAGAACCCCCCAGGCCTGGCCAGCCCTGGGGTGCAGCCAAACCCTCCGTGGTGCCGCTGAACCCACCTGCATACCAGCCCTTGGCGTTGCTGTCGCTCGCCTTGGGCAGCCACAGCTGGCTCCAGGAGTGCGCGAAGTCGATGAGGAGCACGAGCTGGACGAGGATGAAGAGGAAGGAGCCCACCACACCGAAGTAAAACCAGACTTGAGAGCAGAGGGAAAACCCCAGTTAGGAGCAGGGAAAGCGAGACCCGGGGGCGCAGGGGGGGCACAGCTCCTCACCCGAGGTGAAGGCCCCGTCGGGGATGTAGAAGGCGCCCACCGTGATCCCCACCAGCGCCAGGAACTTGAAGAACCAGAAGCTGCGGGAGGAGGGAGGAGGCACGGTCTGCACCCTGTGGGGGTTCCTCCCTCACCCAGCCAGCCCCCCCTCAAGGGATGGGCACCCACCCGTTCTGCAGGGCGGCTCGGGGGTCCTTGCTGCTGCGCACGCACACCATGAGCACGGCGAAGAGGAAGAAGAAGGCGGCCATGGCGAAGCCCATCCGATACACGGCCTTGTGGCCCAGGAAGCTCCCGCAGTTGACGTGGGTCTGCACCCCCAGCACGGACCCACTGCCCTCACAGAAGCCCGGGAGCTGAAAGGGTGATGGCACAGGGTGAGCGTCGCCCCAGCACACCCTGACACATCCCACCGGTGACTGAAGACTGGGGGAAGGTCTTGAAGAGCTACTGATTGTACTGAAGATCAGCTCCTGGATTGTGAAGCCCCCAAGGCTGCCCAGAGAGAAGTTGTGGCTGCCCCATCCCTGGAAGTGTCCAAGGCCAGGTTGGATGGGGCTTGGAGCAACCTGAGCTGGTGGAAGATGTCCCTGCCCGTGGCAGGGGGTTGGGACCCCCTCTTAGAGATCCCTTCCAACCCAAACCATTCTGGGATTCCACAGTTCTGGCATTCCACACACATTGCAAGCCCTGGTGCCACCAAAGATGAGCCAGACCATGATGCTCCAATGCCACTTGCTTGGGGACAGCAGTGGGATGACACAGCTAAAGCCACCCTGCAGGTCAGCGAAATGCTAGGATGAACCCAACCTTTCCCAAAAACCCAGCCCAGCAGCAGCAGCTCAGCTGCCAGACCACCACTCCCTCCACCTGAAGTCACAGAATCACAGGATCAGCCAGGTTGGAAAAGACCTCTGAGATCATCAAGCCCAACCTGTGACCCAACCCCACCTTGTCACCCAGACCACGGCCCTGAGTGCCACGTCCAGTCTGTCCTTAAACACCCCCCGTTCTGATTCAGCCTCACCAGGAGCTGAACTTCCTCCCAGTGACCTCCAGGAGTTATTTACCTTGTGCAGCTCCTTCTCCACGCCGGGGATTATCATGATGACGGACACCAGAGTGCCAAGGAAGAGGAAGAAGGTGAAGAGGAGGCGGGAGATGGTGGAGTTCTTGGCTGAGGGGCAGCAGCCGCAGAGCAGGCACGGAGCGGAGCCACAGAGACAGGACACCTGCAATGAGAGCAGGGTGGGCATTGGGGGAAAGCAGCTTGTCCTGCCATCCTCCCCCTCCCCAGAGGCCACTCTGTAGGCAGGGAGGCTGAGGAACAGCATGCCCAGGAGTCCATGATGGGTCCTGAATTCCCAAATCCAGCACGGGCAGCGCTGCCAAGCATGCCCTGCTCAGGGAGGTTCCATTGCCTGGGACCCGAGGAAACCCTGGCTTAACAAAAGCTCAGCAAAAGCAAACAACTTGCCCTCCATTCACAAGATAATTTCATCGATTTATTTTGCTTTGGTGTTTTCGTTTCTCCCCTTGGAACAGCCCTTCCCCTCCTTCCTTGTACCTCCTAATTATGCCCTGCAAATCGATACTAATTAAAGATGGCTCGGTAGCAACTCAAAACACACATTTCTCATTGTTAAAATCAGTGCAGGAAAAGGACAAGGCAGAACTCAGAAGCAGATGTGGAGCTGCTGTTGTGAGCAGGTCACTTCCCTCAGCAGGGAGATTCACAGAGGATCACTTTGGTGCCTCCAAATCGTTAGAGGTGGCTTTGATTTACTTTATTTGATTTGATTTTTATTTTATTGGGTCATCATTGGAGAAAAATCCCCCCCTTCCTGATTTATTCCTCTTCACCCTCATCCCAGCCCTCACAGCCCCACCCCACTGTCTATGCTGAGCTGGTGGTACCCATAGGAGTCAGGGTGGGTCAGAGAGTCCCAGTATCCCACGCAGACCCTCATTCCACCTTCCCAGGAGCTGCTCAAGGGGCAGAATTTCATGTTTTCCACTTGCAAGCCCATGAAAATGGCCTTCAATTAGAGATGGCTCCCTGTCAGCCTCATTAAATTCACCACTTGCACCAGAGTGCACTTAAAAGGCACCAGCCTTACTGTGCTTTCCCTTTCAAATTAAAAAAAACAAATAGAGAACAGCATCAAAAATGCCTTTTAATGCAGAATTCCTGCATCATTTCACCTGATGGAGCACAGCACCTCAGTGCACCATCCACCCATCCATCCATCCCTCCAGCTCCTCTCCTTCAGTGCCAACTGAAACAAAAAGCACCAACCCCAGAATCACTGGATCCAGCCAGGAAAATCGTGAGCTTTGGTGCTGTTGGGGAAGTTGTGGATTTGGGGGTTCAGCCCCATGTGCAAGCACCCCTGAAGGGCTGCACGAGGCAGAGCCTCAGGTGCCAAGCTTTCCTCAGGGTCAGTGCAGGTGGAGGGAGGGCACAGGAGTGTCCACAGGGCCACAGTGGAACTGAAGGGGAACCTTTGCTCCATGTGCAGCCTCCAGTTGTAGGGGGATGGGTTGGGTTTGGAGGGACCTTAAAGTTCATCTCATTCCACCCATTGCCATGGGCAGGGACACCTTCCACCAGCCCAGGTTGCTCCAACCTGGCCTTGGACACTTCCAGGGATCCAGGGGCAGTCACAGCTTCTCTGGGCAACCTGTGCCAGGGCCTCACCACCCTCACAGCAAACAATTCCTTCCCAATATCCCATCCGTCCCTGCCCTCTGGCAGTGGGAAGCCATTCCCTGTGTCCTGTCCCTCCATCCCTTGTCCCCAGTCCCTCTCCAGCTCTCCTGGAGCCCCTTTAGGCCCTGCAAGGGGCTCTCAGGTCTCCCTGGAGCCTTCTCTTCTCCAGGGGAACCCCCCCAGCTCTCCCAGCCTGGCTCCAGAGCAGAGGGGCTCCAGCCCTGGAGCATCTCCAGGGCCTCCTCTGGACTCACTCCAACAGGTTTTTGGGAGGTTTTGGGAGCCTGCAGCATCCCTGAAGCCTGCTGAGGTTTTCTTTTCAAGGATGACTCTTACACAGCCCAACTCCACAGATGCATTTCAGCTTTCACAGGCCCTTTCAGGCACTGATGATGTACCATGTAATGGGGGTGCAACATCCCCACCCCCCTGACCTGCCCCGTGGAGCAGTAACACCAGAGCCCTGTGCCACCAGGAGCCACAAAAACAGCTCCTGGTGCCCTTTCTGGTCACCCCCCTCAGAACTCCTTTGCAAGGAAGCAAAGGAACCCTCTGTGGCACACACTGCCCCGACCTGCAGCCTGGGCACCTCGGGATTTCACCCCCCTCTTCCTTTGAAAAGCAAGTGGGTTAAGAGCAAGAAACCCCTCCCAGGGCAAGCAACGCTGGACACACTCTGGTTCTCCTTCCAAAGGCTTTCAGAGGTGCCCATGAGTGTGAACAGGGCCCAGGACCAAAGAGCAGGGTGGAGAAAGCTGAGGAGGGAAGCGGCTGCAGCAGTGAAGTGATGGGTTAATGAATGAGGAAGGGTTGGTTTTCAGCCACTGCAGTTGAATGATTAACATCTCCAGTTTCACTATCGACTTCCTCATGACACCCAGCCCACCTCCAGTGTGACCCACATGGAAGGGTTGCTCTGCTCCCTCCTCCCCTGGAGGATTCGAGGCAAGGCAAGGAAACACAACCTGGACCCAACTGCACCAAATCAGCTCCACCCACCCACCTGTGACAGCCCAGCTACACCAACATCACCAACCCAAACCACCCACCCAGCTCTACCAGCCCAATTACACCAACCCAAACCACCCACCCAGCTATACCAGCCCAATAACACCACCCCATGAGCTGCTGCTGCCCTGGCAGTCCCAGGAACACACAGAGGCTGAGTCACCCAACAGCAATGCCGAGCAGCCAGTGATTATCTCGCACCAAACTCATGACCCAGGCAGGTTAATCAGTACCAAACCCACAGGCCTTGGGAAGCTGGTGGCTCTCCTGCCCGGCAGGTGGCTTTGGGTGGGTGTCACGAGGTTGATTGTTGCCCATGAGGTGCCCAAACCACGCCCAAGCCCCCAGGGTTTGTGTTGGCTCGGGCAGCCTCTTGCTGGCAACCCCAAGGTTGTCCCCCCCGCAAGGAAGGCAGCTCAGAACAGTGACAGCTGTGGGCAGAGCCTGGGAAAATCACTGGAGGAGGGCAAGTCACAGGAAAAGGGAAATTTTTTGTTGTGTGCTGCAAAGCTTTCCACTCAGGAGTGGACAATTTGTAGGGTTTTAATGGGAAAGAAGAAACAGCTTGGAAATCTGATGGTGCTGTGACTCAAAAGGCTGCAGGCAGAGCTAAAGGAGTCAGTTCAGATGTTCTTGTTAAAAATAAAATTAAAAAAAAAATTACACACATTTTGGGGGGGTGGGTACTTGGTTTTGGTTTGTGTTTTTTCTGTCTCATGGTTCTTCAGTTCAGAACTAAAACAGCCCCTGAGTCAACCACCTCCACCAGACAGAGCAGGAGAATTAAATTCAACTTATATAGTCACTCTACTCTGTTACCAAAGGCTGAGTAACAGAACAATTTTTGGGGGGAAAAAAAAATCCAGAATAAGGCCAGAAAACTCCACAGCCCTGCACTGGAGTAACTCCCAGCTTTCCCAGTACTTGTCCATGAGGAAAAGTTTGGAGTGTGTTACAGGGGGAGGCCTTGCAGCCCATCCTCCAACTGATCCCTCATTTCCAAACCTCCTGTTCGTTAAACCTCCAACACTTTGAGGTCAAGTTGCACAACAGGCCCTGTTTCCAGGTTTCCAGGCTGGCAGTTCCCAGGCTGGTTCCACAGCCCTGCCTTGGCCTCCGTGCCCACAGGTGAGGCACCCACAGGGCAGGCAGTGCCAGCAGGTGCTGTGTGACAGGGCACAGCACCCGGAACCAGCACATCCCCTGAGCATGGCAGGGCACCCCAAAACACACCCCCTGAGCATGGCAAGGCACCCCAAATCACACCCCCTATCACAGGACACCATGACGTTCCCAAGCCCCGGAGATCTCTGGGGGGAACCCTCTGCATCTCCCGTGGACACCCCAGGGTGCTGTGGGATGCCCTGCTCTGGGTAACCCCCCACATGCCCCAGGGATGCACTGAGGGGTGCACCCCCTGGGGGTCCCCGGCCTCCACAGAGCATCCCGGGGTCCCCTGCATCCCCCCCATATAAAGGGGTGCATCCGCCGGGGATCCCCTGCACCTCCCCAGCTACACAGGGCACATCCTCGGGGGGGTCCTCTGCCTCTCCCGGCTCACCCTCCTGGCATCCCTCGGACCCCTCCGCCCTCCCCGGGCCTCCCCCGGACCCTCCTGCGGACCCGCAGCGGCCGCGGCTCCCCCTCCCCGGGCCGCGCCCTGCGCTGCGGCACCGCAACCCCCCCGGACCCCGCGACCCCCGCTCCGGGCGGGCACTCACACAGCTGAGCAGGGAGCAGACCCCGAGACAGGCCCCCATCGTGCTGCTGCCGCCGTTCCCGATCCGGCCCCGGCTCCTGTTCCCGGCTCCTGTTCCCGGCTCCTGTTCCCGGCTCCCCGCTCCCCTCCGCCGGCTCCGCGCTCGGCTCCGCCCGGACCGGCCGCGCCTCCCTCGGGGCGGCCCTTACGGTGGTGGGGAGGGCAAGAGAGGGAGGATCCGGGCCCCTCCCGGCCTCAGGGGGGGCCCTTTATTGGTTATCTATCCCCCCACTCCGTCCTCCCTCTATCCGCCTCCATCCGCCTCCATCCCCCCCGGACCCTCCATCACTGGTTACCGCCGAGGGGACCACACGGACACCACGAGCTCGGGCCGGGCTGGGGGCTCTGGGACACCCCCAGCGATGGGGGAGATGGGTGGGGGCCCAGCCAGGGCTCAAAGCAGCCCACGGGAAGGGGTCATGGAAAGTCAGAATGGTTTGGGTTGGAAAGGACCTTAAATCCCATCTCTTTCCCACCCCCTGCCCTGGGCAGGGACACCTTCCACCAGCTCAGGTTGGTCCAATTCCCGTCCAACCTGGCCTTGGACAATTCCAGGGATCCAGGGCAGCCACAACTTTTCTGGGCAACCTGTGCCAGGACCACCCCTGCAGAGCTGTGCCCAGTTCTGGGCTCTCCAGGACAAGAGAGACATGGACATAATGGAGAGAGTCCAACCAAGGCCACGATGGAGCATCCTCTGTGTGTGAGGAAAGGCTGAAAGGCTGGGACTGACCAGCCTGGAGAAGGCTCAGGGGGATCTTATCAATGGATATAAATACCTGACACAGGTCCTGGGAAATGGCTCTGGATGGCCCTGCTTGAGCAGGGAACTGGACCAGATGGACTCCAGAGGTGCCTTCCAGCCTCAACCCTTCTGTGATCCTGGGGTGGTGGATGTGCTGGAGCTGGTGGATGTGCTGACCTTGCAGGACCTCCTCTGGATGGCAGCATGATCCCCTGCTGTATCAGCCACCCTTCCCAGCTTGGTGTCATCTGCCAACTTGCTGAGCTTACACTGCCCCATCTCAGATCATTAATTAAATTAATTAATCATTAATTAAATTAATTAATCATTAATTAAACTGGACTGGAACCAGAACAGACCTCTGGGGTAGAACTCTGGTTACTGGCATCCAATTGGACTTTGTGCCACTGCAGGACCAAAGTATGCCCAGTTTGCTTAAGTATCCCCTGACCTGATCCTCTTCCATCAAGGGTTCTGTCCTCCTTGCTCCAGCCTTTCCCCATGGGATCTCTGATCCTCTGGGACCTGCTATTCCTGAAGATCAGTCTGGCAAATAAAGAACCAAAGGCAGCATTCAGTCCCTGCTCCTGTGGCACCAGGTTTCCCATCTTGTGAGGCAAGATATGTTCTCCCTGGTCTTCCCTTTGTCTCCTATAGGAACCCTTCTTGCTGGATTTGACAACACCAGCTCCCAGCAGACCCGCTGGCACCAGCAGACCCACCAGTTCAGGCTTTCCCATCACTCCCAGCATTCCCACCAGCACCAGCAGTCTCACCAGCCTGAACCCAACTGCCCCTGCAGGGGACCCTCAGTGAGGGGGCCTGAGGGTGGCAGACAAAAGTTTTCCCTGCTCTTCCTACCCAGCCAGGGTCTGGCACATCCCCCCCACCCCCAGAGCAGTAAGTGCTGCTCTGTCTCTGACATGAATAATTCAGGCCCTGAGATAACCCGGGATGTGCCAGCCCACTTCCAGACCCTAAATTTAGACCAGCAGCAAAGTACATGAGTATGTGGCAGTGACAGGCTTGGGGGCACAGGGCTGGGGCAGCACGGCCCCTGTGTCCTTGAGGAGGAGGAGGAGGGTGTCACACTTCTTGCTCCAGGCAGAGGTAAAGCTCCGGGGTTTGGCTCCCGATCAGCAGCTGGCACAAATTAATAAAAGCCTTTCTGGGCCTCTGCGGGTTCCCAAAAGCTGCTGGCTCGGCACGGTCCTGCAACAGGAGAGGTCAGCACCCAAAAGCTGCTCTCTGATCGCAGCTGAGGTCTCGGGTTTCTCCTCCTTTCCGGAGGCTCCGGGGTGTGTGCAGGGACACCCCGCCCCGGGCACGGGCCTGGCAGCCTCGGGGACAGGATGGACTGACCGCCCCGGGGGTGGGAGTGGGCATTCTGGCAGCTCCCGTCTCCTCCTGGCTGGATATCAGAGCCCTGTGACATCGGTAGCAGGAATGTCCCTCAGTCCCTGTCCCCTCGGGAGGGGCGAATTGGCCGGACGGGTGTTTGTCCCCTTGGTCCTGCTGTCCCCTTGCAGGCACGTGAGCCTGGTCTGCCAGGAGCAGGAACCCTCCCCTGGACCCTGGAGGGGCCACTGTCCCCTCGGCACCGTCCCCTCGTCCCTTTGATGATGCCACCAGATGGCAGTGCCGGAGTGACACCGGTGCACACACTCCAGACACCGGGGACGGTGACCGGGCTCGGTCCCTGCCCTCTCCGGGCTGCCAGGGCGGGGGAAGGGCTCCCAAACTCCTCACGGGGATGTCCCCACGCCTGGCTTTTGCTGGTGAGCAGAGGCCACCCCACCGCCACCACCCCGGCACCAGCCCCTCGACATCCCCTTCTCGGGAGGGGGTTCGTGCCCAGAGGGATCTGCCCTGGGTCCTGCGCGTCGACAGCGATGTGACAGCGATGTGACAGCAGTGCCACAGGTGACAGAGCTCTGACAGCTCCCGTGCACCAGAGGACAGGCTGGTTTTCCAGCACCCTGCGCGTGGGGGAAGATGAGGACTGGGAGATGTGGGATGCTGCTGGAGCCCGGGGGTATGGGGCTGCCTCCAGCCATCCCAACATCCCAACATCCCAACCCCCTGGCCCGTGTCCTACTTCTGGGAGCATCCTTGTCCGTGTATCCCCATAAAACACCTTCATTTTCCTCTTCCTCCCTGCTCTGTTCCTTCTCCTGCCTCACTCAGCACCCCCAAGGCACGAGGGGACACCTCTCCTCTCCCGTGAGAGGGGTCAAGGACACCATCTCTGCCCACCCCGGGGGGGATTATAGGGCTGGGGGGAGCAGGGCCAGGAGCAGCTTGGCAGGGGTGCCCTCCCACCCTGGAGAACAAATGCTCTCATGTGACTGTATCTGGGACAATTCCAGCTTAGCTGTGGGCGCAGCCAGCAGGGCTCCTGCTGCTCCTGAGCCTTGCAATTCATGGATAAACCCACATTACAGCAATTAATAGTAATTAATGATCAATTCTGTGTTTGGAGAACCAGCTGAATTCATCCAGGACCTCGTCTCCAGAGCATTGTCTGGTGCAGGCAAACACACAAGGTGTGTGTTTTGGGGTGATGGTTTGGGGTTTGCAACCCCCAGACGAGAAGGGAGACAGGCACAGAGCCAGTCTGGGATGGGAAGGACAAATGCACAAGTCCTGGGATTGAAGGATGTCCCTTCCCCCTTGTCCAGGGATGCCTTTGAGGCGGGGAATTAGTTTTCCACTAAGCTCCTCTGTAATAAACACAGACACAGGAGCAACGGGCAATTGCTTGGCCTTTAATTACAGACAGAGGGAGGGTGTTCAGGGTCACTGGATCCAGGATTCAGAGCCAGTGGAAATGAGAGGGGGGATTTTCAGGAGGAATACTGCAGGAACCTGCAGAACTTCTGTGCCTGAGCTCCTACATCAGTCCCTTTCATTGACCAGGATCCTCCTTTCCTCCCACACCACCAGAACATCTCAAATCATAGAATCATGGGATCACTGAATACCCTGAGCTGGAAGGGACCCACAAGGACCATCCAGTCCAACTCCTGGCCCTTCACAGACACCCCAACAATCCCACCCTGTCCCTCAGAGCGTTGTCCAAACCCTCCTGGAGCCCTGGCAGGCTTGGGGCTGTGCCCACTGCCCCGGGCAGCCTGTGCATCAACCCTCGATGACAACCCAACAAAGGAGCCCGATGGAGACCCAGAAAACCCTCTGAGTTTACTGATGGGCTTCCCACCCACTGGCATTGCTTCTGGAAAACCCACTGAGCAACTGAGACCGCCTTCAAGGACCTTTTACCAGTGTCTTAAAGACCAGTGGGGTGATGCAGAGCTTGTCATCATGCTGGGGTCTTCTCTCCAAAGCCCCACAGCCAGGAGGGTGAAGAGCCACCCTGTGTCCTTGAAGCCTGATTTTATCCTGGGCTCAGGGATGCAAGGGCTGGCTGGAAAAGCTGCAGCATTTCCCTGCTGAGCTCGGACAGATGCTGTTTGTCTCTCTCTCAGCAGTGGCCAGACACCTGGCTGCTGATGGATGGGAGTGTCACACCAGAGATTCTGTGCTCTCACAACCACTGGGTCTCTCATGAGGTGGAAAATTTGAGGGGTTACTCTGCTGAGAGCTCCATTCTGTCCCCGAGGTACCAGGATCTGAATCAACAGAGCTGGTGGGGTAGGGAGGCTGGAGGAGAAGCAGGGTGAGACCTTGATCTGAAGATGTCCTTGATCCACCTGCCAGGAGGAGCTGGCTCTTCTCTTCCCAGCCTGCAGCCTTGCTGCTCCTGGGTGCTCCTGTTTCCACGCTCTGGATTTGAGCTCCTCGATTTCCTTTCCTGGCGCACAAAGCCTTTCTCCAAACTCCATCAGGAGACCCCCCCTGAGCTCCTCCATGCATTTTCCACGTCCCCTGGTGGACAGGGCATCCCAGAAAGCACAGCCCAGCCAGGGCAGTGCCGGTGGAATGGTCAGTTCGGGATGCCCGCGGAAAAGCGCGGGTGGTTCGTTTTCAGCCTTAATGACTCTCCCTCTCAGAGAAATGGCTAATGAGCCGTGGGGATCCAATTAGATGTCTCTGGCCGGCCTTTCACCTCCTTCTTGCCTTTCAAAACCCGAAAGAAAAACCCCCACAAGTGCCGGCACGAAGACAATTAGATCAGTGTCTGACTAATGAGTTCATGGCTCTGGCGGAAATATCCGCCTCTGACAGGAGAGGCACAGCTTAGGCAGCCCTGTCCCCCCTCAGCACACATTTTTTGGGGTGTGGATGAGCCCATGTGGTGCCTCCCGGGATTTTGGGATGGCCCCTTGCACCCCGTGCTTCCCACAACGCCCGGAGCCGCCGAGCTGTTCTTTATTGGGC